GTACTCAGGATCATCAACATGAGATTCGTTGATACATCCGGGAGTTCGAGTTAGCTATGGTGAGCCTCCTTATTTTTTGAGGATTTCATTTACTTTTCAGTTTAGTCAGGATGTCGTGGGTCTTGTCCCGACTTCCATCTTTATCAGTTAGAGGCTTCATAGATAGTCAGTATAGTTGAGAAGTCTATATTATTCATTTATTTTATTAAATGTTTTAAAGACTTAAGTTGCCTATTTTATGGCGAGTTGAACAATTTATTTTATTCAGAGTTTGAGTTAAAGCTTTCTATTTAAGTTTCATGAATTTTATTCAATTTTTTAGCTTTTGCATGCTTGAGTTAGTTTTTCGCTTGTAGTCAGCCAGGATGAGGGTTCGCTTGGGGACCAGCAATGGTCTTCGAGTGTTGGCCACGTCCAGGGTGTAGACTTGGGACGTGACAGGTAAGAAGAAGTGTAATACTATTAATTGAGATTAAAGAATAAATATGAGTAATTAAGATCATATTATCCTTTCAATAAATACTTTCTTAAGTAAGTGTATAAGACAAACAAGACAAGAAAAATGGATCAGAGAAAGTAGTAAATATCAAAAAGTGTTATTTCATCTGTCTCAAATTTCTTTATTTTAACTCGGCATTCGGACACACAACCTTTAAGATTTTTAAAATATGATTTATACATTTAGAAATCACATAAAAAGTAAATATAAGTCATAAGAATTAATAATTTAAAATATTTAAAGGTCAAGGGAATAAATCGTGATCAAATTTGATTTTTTTCTCTCGAAACTCAAACAATGTGATATAAATTAAGACTAAGAGGGTAATATATTATGAATCAACCAAACTGAATAGTTCTCCGCTTCAATTTATCACTATAAGAAAAAAGAAATGCATCTTTCTTTTCAACGGGAGGAATACCAACTGATTAGAGTGCTAGCAAGTTTGTTTTCGGTTGCAACCCAAATTTGCGAGAAAATGAAATTCAAAAAGTTGGAAAAAAAAAAGAGAAATCAAATGCGAACTAAGGGTGTGTTTGGTATGAAGCAAAATGTTATCTAATTTTCTCATGTTTGGTTGACTTAAATATTTTGTAAAATGCTTCCCAAATCAACTTATTTTCCTTAAATTTAAGGAAAATGATATTCCTTAAAAAAGTACGAAAAACATTTTCCAAAATTATTTTGAACCTCACACCTCAAATTTCCATCCTAACTTGAGTCTCGGGTATTGATTCCCAATAATAATCCTAGATCTGACTCTTAATTCTCAATTCGAGCCTCAACTCTTGACCTTGATTTGAAACCCAACTCCCGAGTTTTGGACTGAGTCGGGGTCAAATCTCGAGTTAGAATTAGAGGTCAAATTTTGGGTCGATTCTGGGTTGGATCTTGGGTCAGGGTTAGATCTGGAATTGGGTATTGGGGTTGGGGTCGGGGTCGGGGTCGATATCAAGGACGAGTCTCAAGTCAGGTGTCAAGGTTTGGTCTGGTGGTCGGGTGTCGGGATTGGGTCGATCGAATCGGGTGTCGAGGTCGGGTCTCGGGTCAGGTCTCGACTCAAAGTCGGGGGCGAGTCTCGAGATGGGGTCAGGTTTTGAGTTAGGTGTTAGAATCGGAGTCAGGTCTCAGATAAGGGTAAGGTCGCGGGTCAGGTCTTGGGTCGAATCTCGAGTCGAGGTTTGGTTCAAGTCTAGGATCGATTGTTTGAATTAAGGTTGGGCTTTTGTCGAGCAAGGGTCAGGGTCGAGATCGAGTCTCGGATCGGGGTCGGGTCTTGGGTCTGGGCTGGGTCTCGAGTCTTAGGTTGGGGTCGAGTGTTGGGTCAAGGTCAAGTCTTACGGTTAGGGTCAATCTCAAATCAAGTGTCGGGGTCGGGGTCGGGGTCGGGTCTTAGGTATCGTATTGGGGTCAAGGTTGGGGTCGAGGTCAGGTTTTTAGGTCAGGCGTCAGGGAATTCAACTCCAGTTGAGAAGTACCTTCTTTCTCTGTGGATTCCCTTACTGCTGCTCCCAATTTTTCTGCTCTTTTCCTAATGTCGTCGCCTTCTTCTGATGCCATTAACTTCCTCACGACATTCTCAATGGCGGATGTAGTGACAAGCTCCTCGAGTTTCTCCCACTCCCTAATAACGTGCAGGCCTATTTTCCGAAGGATTTGAGGAAAGAATGAAGAGGGTTAGGCAGCACAACCAGATATCTCTTCGTTCACAGGCGGATGTGGTTGCCAGTAGCCCCTTGGTCTATGGGGTTTGACCAACCAAAAAATGGTTTCTTGGTGACAGATGGAAATAGGTCTGATAGTTTGAGAGTGAGAGAAATGCATCCACCATTGAGAATGTTGTGAGCAAGTTAATGGCATCAAAAGAAGGCGATATCATTAGGAAAAGGACAGAAGAACTAGGAGAGACCGTAAGGTAATCCATAGAGAATGGGGGTGCTTACCGAATGGAGTTGGATTCTGTTTAAAAAATGACAAAAGTCTCACATTTGTGGTTAATGAGATGGGTGGACTCTTTATAAGGTTTGAACAATCCTCCTCCCTTTGAGCTAGATTTTGGGGGGTGAGTTAGGCCTAAAACCTAATTTAACAGATTCTGTCATGGCGCATATCACAAGTTCAATTTTGTTCGTTCATCCATATTGGTTATATACCTGATACTTTTTCTCAACTTCTGTTGTGTTGCACAGCTTTTTTTACTTTTTAGTGTGTTGAAGTAAGACAACAGCAAGAAACAGACATCAGTTAAATATCACTAACTCATCTATCTTGTAATATGAGCAATGAAAAAATCAAGGTGTTGAAACTAAGTGAAATATTAGGACCTTTTTCATAGTTGAAACTAAGTGAATTATTGAAAGTTCATGAGAATTATTGGTTCTTTACATTTTCTAGGAGAATAGTTTGAAGATAATCAAAAGGTAACTTCCTCACAACATTCTCGATGGTTGGATGCATTCACTACCATCTCCTGTTTCTTCCACTCCATAACAAGCAGACCTATTTTCAATATTTCTGAAACCAAGGAACCATTTTTTGGTTGGTTGGTAAAAGTGCATAGGCTTTTGTCTTGCGACCATGTTCATCTTATGCAGTTGTAGAGGACAAAAGAAATGATATCCAACCTTTTCATGTAGATGGTACATCAAAATCATATAGTCATTTGAGAGTACAAAATAATCTCATGTTGGACATATGGATTAATAAGAAAAGATTATGATAAAAGTTTTCATGCATGACTCAACACATACTTTTATTTAATCTGCATAAACAGCATCCAATAATTCAAAAATAATAGTACAACAATTAGTAGTTACAAAACTAAAAGATATGTGAAAGAGATGGATTTGCTACTCACTCCTCCTCTTAACTTCACACATTTGCTATATAACCCTGCTTCTTCCACAAGAAAAAACTCAATCACGACACATGGAGGATCCGATAGAAACACGAAACTCCAATCTTTCTACTTCCATGTGTAGCTATGAGAATTTACCAAACCATGAACTTGATCATGAAGTAGTTATAGTCATGGTTCCATTTCTAGCTCAAGGCCATCCCAATCAACTTCTTCAACTAGCCTGTTTAATCTCCTCATCATATGATCTTCCTATCTATTATGTTGGCTCAGCTACTCATAATCGTCAAGTTTTGGTTCGAGCCAATGCTTTAAATCCTTTAGACATAGCAATAATCCACTTCCATGGCCATTCCACTTCCTGAATTTGCCTTACCTCCACCTGACTTTAATGCCTTGAGAAAATTCCCATTACATCATCAGATGCATCTTTGCTTCTTCGCGAGCCCATTGCTTCATTTTTACGTGACATCTCCTCAAAATCGAGACGAGTCATTGTTGTTCATGATTCTTTTATGTCATACATTGTTCAGGATGTTTCTTCCTTTCCCAATGCTGAATCCTATATATTTAATTGCATTTCAGTTATCACTTTGTACTGTTCTTTATGCTTATTTAGTGGAAAGTCTATCCAACTTGGAGAAGAATTGCTTAAAAAGCTACCGCCCCTTGAAGGAGCGCTGCCTGATGAAGTCAAGAACTTTATGGATTTTCAGAGTCATATATGGATATTAAATCAGGTGATATCCATAATACAAGTAAAGTAATTGATGGTCAGTTTCTTGATTTACTGGCACAAGTAGAAAGTAAACAACAGTGGGCAATTGGACCAATTCTGCCAACTAAACTCCATAATAATATCTCGAATAACAACAATATATGTTTGGAATGGCTGAACAAACAACCTCTGAGATCAGTTCTTTACATATCATTTGGAACATCAACTATATTTTCCGATAGAGTAGTCACGGAGCTTGCGATGGGACTTGAACAAAGCAAACAGAAGTTCATATGGGTGTTGAGAGAAGCCGATAGAGGAGATGCCTTTACCGAGGAAGCTAGAAGATTTGAGCTTCCAGAGGAGTTTTGAGGAAAGGGTAAAAGAAGTAGGCCTAGTGGTAAGAGAATGGGCACCACAACCCAAAATCTTGGCTCATTCTTCCACAGGCGGGTTCATGAGTCATTGTGGATGGAATTCTTGCATAGAGAGTATTACCATGGGTGTACCTATAGCTGCTCGACCAACCGAGAAATGCTGAAAATAAGCCTGACTGTAAGGGAGTGGGAGAAACACGAGGAGCTAGTAAGTGCATCCACTATTGAGAAAGTCGTTAGGAAGTTGATGGCATCAGAAGAAGGTGATGCAATTAGGAAAAGAGCAGAAGAATTGGGAGAAGCCGTTAGGCATTCCACAGCGAAGGGGGGTTCTTCTCGAATAGAGCTGGATTCTTTTATCGCGCATATCACAAGATAGACTTGCTTTTCAACAGATTTTTCAAGTTTACCTGTCACTTGTCTGGCTTCTATGGCTATCAGTGAGTTATTGCTTTGTATTTCTCTCTTAATAGTCCTGTTTACATTTCTCAGTTGGTATGTACCAGAGTTATAATCAAGAACCACATATGATGAATTAAGGTTACTCCATAAGACGAACAACGTATGTTTTCGATTATTCAGTAGTAGTAGAGCATTACAAAACAGAAATTTTTAGTTCTGAAAAGCAAGTCTATCTAGTAATATGAGCAATGAAAGAATCTAACTCCAGTTGAGAAGCACCTCCTTTCTCTATGGACACCCTTACTGCTGCTCCCAATTCTTCTGCTCTTTTCCTAAGCTCGTCGCCTTCTTCTGATGCCATTAACTTCCTCACGACTTCCTCAATGGCGGATGCAGTGACAAGCTCCTCGTGGTTCTTCCACTCCCTAACGAGAAGGCCTGTTTTCAAGATTTCTGTCACAAAGAAAGCATTAAGTGGCTGTTCAGAATGCATAGCCCAAGCAGCCATTGGTACCCCCGCAGTAATACACTCTATGCAAGAATTCCATCCGCAATGACTCATGAACCCCCCTGTGGAAGAATGAGCCAAGATTTCAAGTTGTGGCGCCCATTCTCTGACCACTAACCCGACACCTTCTACTCTTTCTTCAAACCCGTCTGGCAACTCAAATCTTCTAGCTTCCTCACTAAAGATATTACCTCTATCACCATCTCTCAACACCCATACAAACTTCTGTTTGCTTCGCTCTAGTCCCATCGCGAGCTCCATCACTTCTTTATCAGAAAATGTAGTTGATGATCCAAAAGATACATAAAGAACTGATCTTGGAGGTTGGTTATCAAGCCAATCTAAACATTTGTTTCTCTTATCTGATACATGATCTACTTTAGCAGCCAGAAATATCGGTCCGATTGCCCATTGCTTCTTGTTTTGTGTACTTGCAAATTTTTCCATCAGATCAAGAGAAGTACCTGTTGGGATTGAAATAATCAGACATTTAAGCTAATAATTGCAAAATATACTACAAAATGTAATAGAAAATAAGGGCAATACCTTCAAGTAGTTTGTTTGAATTGTATAAATCACCAGCTCTAATATCTCTATACTGAAGTTGAAAATCTACTAACTTTTTGATCTCTTCTGGTGCATCAGGTCCAAGTTTAGGTAACTTTTTAAGTAAATCTTCATCAAGTGGAATAGGCATTCCATTAGGTACACATATAAAACTAGAATACATACAGAAAACAGAAACACAGTTAAATATATAAGACTCAGCATTATGCAAAGAAATAACATCCTGAACATTATATGACATTAAAACATCATGAACAACGACAACTCGTCTTGATTTAGAGGAGATGTCACGAAGTAACAAAGATATAGGGTCGCGAAGAAGGGTGCAAGCATTATAAGATGGTAAGAGTTGTGATGGGAATTTGGTGAATGCATTAGGATCAGGTGCAGGGGAGGCAAAATCAGGTGTTGGGATATCATGGAAGTGGATTTTGGCTATGTCTGATGGTTTTAACCCGTTGGCTCGAACACGAGCTTGATGATTATGAGTAGCTGAGCCAATAAAGTGGACAGGAAGATCATATGATGAGGAAAATATGCAGGCTAGTTGAAGTTGTTGATTGAGATGGCTTTGTGCTGGAAATGGAACCATGATTATAGCTACTTCATTTTCTTGTTTTATCAACATTTCATTATTCATGTTATCCATGGAGAAATTAAGGAAAAAAAAACAAGTTTTGAGAATTGAAGTATAAGTAAATGTATGATTGGTGTTTGATGAAGTTTACTGTATTGAAATGTTTATATATAGTTTTTTATTCTTGTCATTATGCAAAGATGCACATGGACAATTTAGGATGATTATTGAAAATTATTCAATTGGAAATAGAATTGATATTTGACTCATTTGTCTGTCGTGCACTCCAAGGTCATTACTGGTCAAAAACAGCTGATCAAATAATGCGTGTTTTAATATAAAAATAGTAATAATTGAGGTTGCAAAAAATGATAATTTGAATGTGTTTTACAACTCATTTTTATTTATTGAAAGCCACCCAACTCATTTTTTATTCATTGATAGCCGCCTAACTTTTCAAAAAGATCTTCTTCTTTTTTTGTACTTTTAGCTACTTCCGTCCACTTTTATTTATTATGAGTTTGCTTTTTAGAGTCAAATTATAAGAATTTTAACTAATATTTTACGACGTATTTTTTCATCATATTTGTCTACAATATTGAAATTCAAAAAATTGCAATTTATAATATTTTTTGTATAGTTTTTGAATATCTAATTTTTTTTTGTTTAAAATATCAAATTAATGCAATCTAATTTAACTTTAATTTGACTGCTAAATGAGGGGTTAATTGTGTTAATGGGATGGTTTGGTAGATCATTTTTAAAAAATTATATTATCTCAATTTTTGGGTATTTTATAATGTATAACCAAAATTAAATTTTTAAAAACAATCCTGATTTTCTTCGCTACGATTTGATTAATTTTCATTTTTCTTTACTTATAAAATATCATCTCAAAATATATTATTATTAAAATATATCTTTCGCAAATATATTTTTGAATAAACACTTCAATTCTTCTCCAAGAAGCCATGAATGTAAAACCTTTGTTTCCGTATTGTTTGATCTTTAAACATTTAATAGGAGTGCTTGCATGGCTAATTAAAGAGCAAAGACAAACATATAAAATAATATTTACACACACATAAGGTTATTCAATTGAATTCGGAATTTTTTTGATTTTTTACATAAATTAAAAAGACCATCTCCATTATTCGGGACAGATACACTTAAATAAAAGTCCACGATTTTGTTGAAACAATGATAAATCGATTCAATTCGGTCAATTTTCATATTCTTTTGACACACCTAGTAAGTATGTCAAAAGTGAAAGAAGAGGTCTGCCCCACAACTCTGATCTAGTAGTAATAGCGTAACACATAATGTGTAGGTTAAAGCACACGTCCAGTGTTCAAATCCAGTTGTAGACAAAAGCGAGCAAAAAACATGCTCATTAACACCGAGACACACTTATCATTAAGTACTCGAAAAATTTGAAACTAATGCACTGGCAATACTTTGCATCTTCACTGTCTAGAAGATTGCCATTGTGGACACCAAGTAGTAAAATCTAACGACGTGGATGCCCGGACTTCGCCTGTTCAATGATATCTTTGTACAATGCTGAACATCTAAAGTAAACAACACCAGAGACGGACTGTGATTCTTCAACTTCATAAACTGCGAGCAACCTTGTCATACAGATCGCGAGGCCAATTCTGATTCAAATTGCTTGCAAGGAAGTTTGCAATCTGCAGAACCAAATTCACATCAATTATCACAAGATGTTATTGTTAATCAAAAGAAGTTTGACTTAATATATGATAGGAATCATTGTCCAATATATGTTCTCAGAGATGCACTAAAGAACATCTTCAGAAATAAACATTGTACTAGGCTGCTGTTTTTATCTGATTTAGTTAATGAGATTTAGAAGCAAAAGCAGATCTGTGAACACTTGGTTCATGATAGGTGTCACATGTAATCGAAAGACCAATATTACATCTAAATAAGAGGAAGACATAAGAGGAATGTCTTCCTCTTATTTAAAGTCATTATTCAAAGAGTTGTTTTCTTCTTCGTCAGGTTAGGTCTTCATCATATTTAGCGAAAATCTGAACTTAGCAATACATTTTGTGAAGGACAAGCACACAACATAACTGGAAAGTGGAAATAATAAACAAAGTGGGCATAACTCCAAAGGGAAATAGGAGCAAAGCCACAAACAGTGAAAGAGAATGAACATGAATATGTATGATGTAAAATTTACCTTGGCCCTTAAAGCACGAAGTGACCCATCAGTATCTTTAACATTGTCCAGACAATGAAGCGCAACTTTTAGGAGGTCAGGTACACAAGCTTGGACATGATGAGACAAATTTTGAAAGATATCCGTGGCGAAATCCGGCGCCCTTGGGTCCAAAGGAAGGAATGGGAGCTTTGCCACTTCTTTTATAGCATCCAAGTGATTTCCAAGTCTTGCAAGCTTATGAATGGATAGCACAGCCTCAAGCTGTCTTAGAACAATTTGCTGTGCCAACACATTTTCTCTCTCTTGGGGACTGCAAAAATGGATTAGATTAGGCTTCCATTCCAGAACAGCAAAGAGGCATTCAAAAACATCATTATAAGAAACTATTTATAGTGACAACAGAAAATGTTTGACTACTGGACAAATCTGCATATTACCTGATCTCAGGGTAATATTTGAACATCTCCAGGATCTCATTTCCTGAAAGAATAAGCCCAGAAGTCTGGCTTTCCCCGTCCAACCTTCCACGTGCCAAGGCACATATTGCATCAGAAAGGCACTTGTTTATCGTATCCAATGCAGCTGAAAATGCCCCCACTCTCTTCTGAATCTCGATGGACTGAAATTATAAGGCGCACAAAATTCACAAATTGATGGCATGTACATCAATGAAATTTATTACTTTATCAACAAAAAGAAAAAGATTCACTACTACAACTTATTCAAGAATCCTTAAAGGAGAATTTTCTTTGTCAACTGATAGACCAACTCAAAAGTACATGACAAGACATTATTCACTAAGCACAACTATTACCCAAAAAAAATGACTTCAAATCTAACCCAAAATAGATCTCATGCTATAGAGATAATTTACTGTCAGTGACTGAAGAAATGATTATTATGTCTTATGTCGAACTACACAAGTTAGAGCAATAAGTTCATTCATGTCACTATGTAAAAGGAAGAAAGAAAAGATTACCTTGTCATAGAGCCCCGCATCCTGATACTGCCGAGCAGCTTCAAGCAGAAATTGTTGTCTAGTCTTTTCATCAGTCAAAAACCTTCCAAGTTGACCTTCTTCTCCAGTACCCCTGGGACCAAGTAAAATATCAATACCACCATCCCGCGACAATAGCTCTGTAAGAAGTTGTTTCAACATTGAGCTCCTTTGCCTTTGCTGATCAATATTACCACGTCCACTCCACGACAACTGCCCACCACCCACTGCTGCTGCAGCTTGCACATAGTACTCCAATGACATTAACAGATCACCATGACGCAGGTAAAATGATCCATACTGCCTAATTATGCTAGAGGCTTCAGCAAAAGCATCCATGACCCCAAATTTTTGACCTACCCATGTACCTTCAGAGAGGACCCCATAGTCCGCTAAGACAATAGCCATATGGACAGCATCTACATTATACCCCTCGTCTCCCATGTCCTTGGACAAATATAGGACGGCTGGAAGAAGTTGAATGCTTAAAAGTAAAACATATGGATAAACCAAAGGATCCTTTCCATTCTTAGTATAGTGTGACGACTCAAACTTGTTTAGGTAAGCTTGCAAATCATCTAAAGTGTAGGGTGCCAACCCCTCACTTAGGACCTCAGAAGACCTGTCAGGAGACTCACGTACAGCAGATAATTGGAACCACAAGAAATCCTCTATAGTAGAGAAAAGTGTAGGGAATTCTCGAAGAAATCTGTCAATTTGCCTGCGAGAACCAGAAATTATGGTGTAGAGTAGCAACTTTTTCTTATCATATGTGGGTCGACCCCCTCGATCACCCAACCTAAACATCTTCTCACATTCTTCTGAAGCAACCGCCGCTATCTCTGCTGATACCATGCCTCTAGTGGAAATCCACTCTGTAAGCTGCAAAAAACAGGGAATGTTGAAATGAAAAGAGAATGGACAACGTACAGAAAATATCCAATCCACAGAACACATACCAGAGGTGCAAACTGGTGGGACATGCGAGATTGTTGGGAAATCTCTCTTGCTTCATTGTAGTAGCCAGTTCTCATGCAAAAGTATATCTATTTTAAGATATAATAATCAAAATCAGTTTGAGCTACACATTTTCTTGGTAAAGTTACAGGTGCAGTAAGAAGCCCAAGTAGTTGCAGAAACAGGATAAACACAGGAAGTATGCACATATAGAAATTAGAATAATTCATGACCAAGAGCAATACCTTCTACTAGTATATCTTTTATTCTACTACTAGTTGCTGATAGAGGCCCTCTATCAGGTACCCCGAGGAATTAGTCGAGGTGCGAGGAAGCTGACCCGGACACCATAGTTATTAAAAAAACTACTACTTAGTTGTTAGATTGATAGTAGATGATGGAAATCTAAGCAAGAAATCTAATTACCAAATATGAAAATAGCACAAAATTACCGTATAGAGAGACTGTAGTCTGTAAAAACTTGGGTGCTAGTCAAAGCAAGAAGTATTAACAAATAAGGGAACAAATTATGAATTTAAGAGAGGCATAAGCATAAGCCAGCAAAAATGGTTGTTAAAAACAATAGTAAGAGAAAAGTAAAGAACCCTTGTTAATTCAAGAATCATATATCATATATATATATATATATATATATATATATATATATATAAAAGAGAACCCTTGGCCCACCTACGTGGCACCACCACAAACAAGGATTCCCTTTTAATTTATTTATTTCCAAAACTAACCTTCCCCTTTCCTGAAAAGTTGTGACTTTTATGAAGAGTTTTTATGAAAGGTTGTGACCTTTCCAAAGACTTGTGACCTTTCTGGTAAGACAAAATAAATATTTGTTCACACTACCCTTTGTTGTCTATAAATAGAGGGTTTCCTCTCATTTTAAAACAACGAAAATTCCGAACTACTTCTTCTACTACACAATTGAATATT